GTTCCGCAAACTATGGGCTGCGACCCTTTTTTGGAGGGCCGCGAAGCCATCTGAGGAATTGAAAAAAAAAAATAAAGTATGTTTCAACATACTATAGAGAAAATATTTTTAATAAAGCTACTTCACTGTTACAGTGAATTCGCAGCACCTCCTTGCTTGTACATACTGCTAAATTGCCAGATGATACGTTCTGTTTGAGATTTTTTTTTAATGTAATATATTTTAATTTGGTGAAATTAATATTAATATAATCTATAATTTGTTAATATGATTTATCTGACAAAATCTATCAATCTTTAATGATACAAAAGTTAGCATGCAATGTCTTTATTTAATGTACAGGGCTGAAAATTAGCAGTCGCCCGGTTGCCAGTGGCGAGTTTTTTTGTGTCGGGCAATAATAAATGTCTTGGGTATTAGCCATCTGGCAACTCATACTTGCTCACGCACTGATCACCATGGGCGAAAACTATTTTGGATTGGCAAAAAAATAACCTAGCAATTTTAAAAGTTTCAAATACTTGCTAAAATACATCTTTTTTTTCCCATTCCGGCTCCTTTTTTCGCCAATCCATAACCATGCTACGATTATTTGTGTTGTTGAATTAGTAGTCTAGCTGCAAACATCATTGTCTGCTTCGCAATTTGTTATTTGTTATTTTAACGAAGTGGATGCCGGGCAGTGGCTGTATGACAATGACTACATGAAGGTGAACCACTTTTCTGTATGACGACAACGACTACATGAAGGTACTATATTCACATCAGCGGGCTAGCTGGTAGTGTACCCTTTGTATGCAAACTGACGACAAAGTAGATTTAAAAGCAGCCATTGTCCAACTGTCGGGTACATATTAACAACTTCCGAGCTTGAGCTTTTCCAACAAGGGGCCGGTCTTAGATCAAGGTCTGAGTGCGATGGTGGTAGAAATGTCATTAATAATGATTTAAGCAATGATTTCATGTTCTCGTCTGATATATAAAATATATATAATATTAACGTGTGTAATATTTACTGTAAGAATGCACCACGTGGGTTGCTTATTGTAGGTACTGTAGAGCAGAGTGACGGCAGTAGTAGCAGCTTAGCCTAGGCCCAGATCATATAGTACAGTAAGTCCTTGATCATCGCAGTGAAAAATATGGGCGACGGACGATTGGGCCCATTTCCAAACGATCAGACCCAAGCCAATTTTGAATTATCTTTGTTGAAACTTTATATCCTGAACATAATTATGCTAAAGTGAAAATGCATAAAATACTTTTTCTTCCATAATAAAACAATAACAAATAGTTTTAAAAAAAAAACATTTAACAATAACAATTACACTTAACAGTGCATTTTACAGGGCATCATTGCCAAAAATTCATGGTTTCATCCTCTACTCATTGGAACAAATACAGCCTATGGAACACATACTCATCTATCTGGGAAATACTGCATTAAATCAGACTGTTAAATATGCTAAGGCTTTCCCATACGTTATTGCTGCTCAGGTCCCACAAATGAACATCATAAACGTACGTAGTAGACGTGCATTTTCCTAGCCCTCTTTTGATCAATCAGTTGTTAAATTTGACATTAGGTAGTTTACGTCGCACGACGTTGACCTTAACTTTAACATTAGTACAAAACATGCAACGCGACAGCTGAGTCTGCCACTTTTGTAAACAAATCAAATATGCATTCGCAAACATGTAACTAATGTACAGTACGTCGAGCACGTAAAATCCTGAAATTAACGTACTGTACTCTGCAACGCAAGATGAATAAATTGACATCATCCGTTAAAGTTAACACCTATTTCATAGGTAGTACTGTACTGATCACTTCATTTTAAGCTCTGACAAATTTTTCTTTGAAAAAAAAATGTACGCCCATATATAGTCATAATGTGCCTATATATGGTCACGATGTGCCCATATAAGTAGTCATGATGTGCCTATATATGGTCATGTGATGTCATTATGACCATATTTAGGCATGTCAAATGTTTAGGATAGGGAATTAAATATGGTACAACTTTACAGCATTTCGATTTTTAATGTGGTACGTATCAGTAATTTCACAATACTCATCAAAGGAATTAAAATGGGAAGCAAAAATCCTAAGACCCTGAAACAATTGGATGAGTCAATCTATGATAAGATCTTGAGAGGTACAGTACATGTTAACACAATCAAACCTTTAGAAAACAAACAAATGGAAATGGAAACAAGTTATGGAAAGTGTAATATTGCAATGATGGAACTGTTGCAAAATAGAAGTTTAAAATTTACAAAAAATGCATTATAGTTTATCTTGGTATCACTAGCAGGTCAAATAAAGCTTTTCAGTTGGGCACTTGGTTGGGTACTTACAACCAAATTCCTTGTGGAATTTGATGAAAATTTACACAATGTGAAAGCATGATAGAATTTGATCAGAAATTTCATAAATTCATTTATTAATCTAACCAGTACAGAAGTATATACTAGAGTTAACATTAATTCTTTTACTTTTATAATTAGGTAAATATTAACCTAATTATAAATTAATTAATTAAACCTACAGTAGTAATAACACTGACAGGTTTATTAATCTACTAATTAATAACATTTAGTTTACAACTGATAATAGTTATAGGTTTAATGTATTAACAATATGAGGTTATTAACTATGATTGTGATTTTCCCTTGGTTATTAATTTACAACAATTTTTAAAATAGTTATTTTCATCGTTCTAAAGGTCAACTCAGACAGCGTCGGCCAACGCAGCCCGACCCGATTTATCGTCGGGGACAGTCTAAAGCCGTCATAAGAAATATTAAACACGTTTAATATTCTACTACGCGACTGCCCCCGACGCACACCATCACGTCTGCGTTCAACTCTCACAGACCCGACGCGACAATAAATCGCGTCGGTCTGCTTCAGCCGACGCTGTCTGAGTTGGCCTTTAGATTACATGTGTGAATAAACCTTTTAAAATGATATTTCATGTTTTTTTAATACTGTACCTAATAAATATAATGCAACATCTATGAATGCCAATTTTTCAACAAATTTTATGAATGAATTATGCCATTGGTAATATCATCAACCAAAAAATATAACATCATAGAATTCAAATAGAACATACTGTTCTCATTCATATGTTGATATGTCATGAGATTATTTTTTTAAGTAGACATTTTTTTCTCATTATTATAATATTACAAGACATGCACATCTTCCTAAATTCTCACTGCAAATGCAAGTTTTATACCTCACAGGAATCAGATCAAACACTGAACAGGAGCCAAAATTCAAACAAAATTAGAAGCTTTTTTGGCATTAATGCATTGGGAAGGTAGCGAGTACTAAGGTAAGTGCATTATTAGCGCTGCAATGAGTTTTTAAAGTTACCAATCAGGTAATTTCAAATGAAAATGGATTATACAGTCTCTTTCTCTCTCACCATTCATTCCGACACATAAATAAGGCCAAGGCCTCGACCTAGGGCCTGGTAGGGCCTAGCCGAGGCTCCCTACCCTATGCCGGGATATGACCGGTTGAGCCGCCGACAAGTTGAGCCGCCGGTCATTTCTATGGAACGCCAAGCGCGTCTCTCAGTGAATGTAGTGCGTCTCTCAGTGAATGTAGTCGGCTTGCCGATGTCATCAGT